GATGGTACATAGATCACCCTTAGGCCTCCTTGAGGCTCAGCAACACCCCTTTCCTTCCTCTTCTTTCTCTCACTGGATCTCCTGCCCACCCACCTCTTGCAGTCGGTCTGGCAGACCTCACTGCCTCCACTCCTATCCTTCCCTGCCTCTGTGAACTACAGTGGCTTCAGGCTAAAGCCTGCTCTCTATCCCAGTGATGCTGATGGCGTCCCGATCAGCCTGTTCTATGAGCTCTAGCAGGTCAGGCGCCCCTTGTGGAAAATGAGGATATTACCACGCTTTCTGCTCATGGCAGCACAGTGGTGGTTGGTATGAGCGCTCCAATGCTTTGAGAATGTGAGGGTCTGCTTGCTGCCTCTTTCCTGTGGAGGTGTTGCCTCTGCTCTTTAACCTTTTAGTGCCCCAGCCATGTCTGCTGGTATATTCCTTTCTGTTCCTTCCTTCCTCATCCCAAGAAATCAGGTAGGAAAGGAGATGGAGAGTTCCAGCTTGCCTTCTAAATGAAATAAAATTAATGCAAGTTCACGCATACCGGCAGAGCATTCCTGTTTCCCCCACCATCCAAACAAACTTGGTGAGGGGATTTCTCTCTCAAACACCACACCCTCCTTAAGCAGGACACAGGCCCAGCAGTCAGAAGGGCCTGGATTTGGATCCTGGCTCTGTTGTTTGTCATAGTTGTGTGAATCTTAAGGAAGATGCTTAATCAATTTGAGTCTCAGTTTTCCCACCTGTAAAATGGAGATAAAGGTTACCCACTTCATAGACTTAAGATAAAGATTCAGTGTGAGACGGTATAGGCGGGGCTTGTGCCTGGAACTTTGCAAGGGCTCAGAAATAGCTCTCTGTTTGTGATAGTGGTGATTGGAGACAGATTTCCTTTTGACAAGTAAACTATGAAGTTTAACTCACCTGGTTTGCCCTGGATAGAAATGTTGTGGATGGGGGTAGAAAAGATGGAAGCATCCTGTGTGATTTGTCCCCTCTACTCCTGCCAGCGCCCTTCCCCACGCCAGCCTGGACCCTCCTGCTCCCCTCCTGCTCCATTGGACCCTCCTGCTTCCCAAGAGCTGAGAAGGGCCTCAGCCCACAATCTCCACCTCCTTGGCGTGGGCTTCTCTCAGCCAGGGATGACGTTTCCTGGTCAGGCTGGCGGCTCCTTCTCCCTCCCCACCTCGGAGGTCCCTCTCTCATTTCAGATGAAACACTTCCACACTGGGCAGGTCGTTTTCATTGAATTCTCCAGTACGCTGTCTTCAGTGGTGAGGAGAGACATTTTAATTAATTACAGTCCCCGTGGGCTCAAGGATCAATAGCGGCAAAGAGCTGTGGAATGAATTCCTCACCTCTGCTGTTTCCAGCTCTCTCTGTGACCTCGCATCAGGTGCTCAAGCCCTCCGGGCCTCAGTTTGCTGCTCTCTAAAGTGGGAGTGCCCATTTCCCAGGGGTGCTGGGAGCCTCCCAAAAGGTTTGGTGATTGAAAGTGTTGTAAACGGTGGAGTCCTGGCTACAAGTAAATGACTATTAACACTGCATTTATAGCCCCAAAGGGCAAGCACGAGGGATGTTTCTCTTCTGAGCCATTTCTGGAATCTTCTTGCTTTTGCTTCTTGATACCTTAAGATCAGCTGTCAGGCTCCATCTCCCTTTCTGAGAGAAGCAAGCAGAAGGAAGCCAGCGGCCCAGAATTAAGCAGGTGGGTGTGTAGGTGAGGACAGGTTACTTGCTCTCCCAGCCCCACATTTCTCCAGCGAGGAGAAGTGACCCTTCTAGTGAGACCCGGGATAAGAAGCCAAAGGCTGGGTCCCCAGTTGTTCTGACGTGCACTGTGCTGACCACCTTCGGCACTGAGCCTTCACAGCCTTGTTTATTCCGGCCTCTTCTGCTCGCTGCGGTGTATTCTGTACACAACCGAGTTCTCTTTCTGAAACAAGTCTGGGCCTGTCCCTACCCTGCTCAGAGCCCTTGCCTTCAGGATAAAATCCAGAGTTCTTGGTGTGGCTGCCCAGGCCTTGCATGACCTGACCCCTGCCAGCTTCTCCAGCCACCACCTCCTGGTCTCCCTCCAGGTCCCTTGGCTCCAGCCACAGGCCCCCCCAACTCCCGATGCGGTTTTCAGGGTCCCCGGGCTTTGGACATGCTTCCGCTTTAGGCTTACCTTAGCCAGGGCCTCTGCATGCTTCAGCCCTCTGCCGAGACCGCACCGTCCCAGCAAACCTTCCCTGACTCCTCGGCCTTCCTCAGTTTGGGTGAGATCACGGACCTGTCCACAGCCTTGGCCGCCTCCCCTCACCTACCTGCCCCCCTCTCTGATGTGTGAACTTCCTGAGAGCTGTGTCTGTGTGACTTGCTCATTGTCACAGCCCCAGGCCCGTAGCATACCTCCTGCCACAGAGTGCATGCCAAATACTGGAGTGGAGGGATGGACGTAGAAGGTTAGCACCGGATGAGAAGCCTGGAGTGTCAGACTCTCCCAGGCACCTGCCAGACACCAGCTTCCTGGCCCTCCCGCAGCCCTCTAGACGCAGGGTTTCTGTGGGTGTGCCAGGGAATCGCATGTCTAACAGTGTGCACATCAGGTGGGCTTCTCAGTGATCTAGTCCAAGCCTTGCACTTTACAAAACAGGAAAGTGAGATCCAAAGACAGACAGTAAGTGACTTCTGCAAAGTATCTCTCTCCTCTCTCCTTTCTTCTCTCTCTCTCTCTCTCTCTCTCTCTCTCTCTCTCTCTCTCTCTCTCTCTCTCTCTTTCTCCCCTCTATCCTTCCCTCCCACACACTCACACAAACGCACATTTTTATGAAACAAACACCCAACTCTTTTTCCACTCCCAAAGTGGAAAAAGCCACAGGAAGCACAGGAGAGATAATTTTTTGTCCTTGTTTTAACCTTGGGTCTGAACTGGGAAATCTGGGCATATTGTTTATTTCCTTTCCCTAAAAAGTACTTAACCTCAAAATATGCACTACTTATTTTTAAAATTTGAAACAATGACTTTCACTCCAAGACTTACATAATTTTTCAAAACGTGGGAAATCCCTGATGTCTCATTTTTCTGTTTCAGAAATGCTTTGTAGAGAGTATGAATTACCCTGCCTGATGCCTTGAGGTCTATTTTTATCAATGTGAGACTAAAACTGACAACATATTTACTCTTGCTCATGGTAGTGCCTCTCTCTAAAGCCCATCCGAGGAGAGAAGCCTGTAGGAACGTGTGCTGGCAATTAACTCGACTTACTAGGACAGAATGGGAAGGAAGACACCAGCTCCACGTGTGGCAGATAAAGTAGAGCAAGTTTAGAGGAAAGCCAGGGGCGAGGACATTGCGTCCAAAGGGAAGGGCACCGGAAGCTGGGTGGGTTTCCATAGAGCAGTGGTTCTCAACCTTCCTAATGCCGTGACCCTTTAATACAGTTCCTCATGTTGAAATTATTTTCGTTGCTACTTCATAACTGTAATGTTGCTACTGTTATGAATTGTAATGTAAAATATCTGATATGCAGGATGTATTTTCATTGTTACAAATTGAACATAATTAAAGCATAGTGATTAATCACAAAAACAATGTGTAATTATGTATGTGTTTTCCGATGGTCTTAGGCGACCCCTGTGAAAGGGTCGTTCGACCCCCAAAGAGGTTGCGACCCACAGGTTGAGAACCGCTGCCATAGAGGAACCAGTGGCCTGAGATGCTGGGATGTTGGGTGTGGGGGTGGCATTCAGGTAACGCAGAACCGGGATCGAGGGCGGGAAGACCTTCCACTGGGATTTAAGGAAGAACTTTCCCGCAAATGGAATCTTGCCAATGAGTGTTCTCATAGGTAATGAGCCCCACATCTAGAGAAATGTTCAAGGCTGGGGCTGTCTTATGGGCTTGGCACAGGATGTCGAGGGAGGAGAAGTCTGGACTAGATGAAGTCCAAGCGCCCTCCTCACTGACTGGAGAGCAGACCCAAGTGCCCACAGCCTCAGGCCAGTGACCTGAGTGAGTGAAGGGTTCTCTGGTGGGGGCTGGGGGCAGGGGAGAAGGGGCTCCAGCTCCTTGCTTCCAAATATGGGTCCAGTGAGGCCAGATCTTTGGGTTTTTTAAGAAAAGACAGACTTCAGGATTTTTTTATGTAGACTCTCCTGAGTTTTCAATATTTGGGAGCCAAGTAAAGCCATCTGTGCCTGCAGTCTTGGCCACGGCCTGCCAGTTCAACCCCTCTTTTCCAGAAATCTCAGGGGGATGTGAGCTCAGCCCTTCAGGCAGAGGGTGAAGTGGGCAGGACAGAGACTATCTCTCTGTCCAACAGATGGGGAAACCAGGATGCCTTAAAATACGGTTTGGTGAAGGGAGCAGTGGGAAGGTCTGGAGCAGGGAATTTGGCTCCAGGCACAGTGGGAGGAGGAGTGCTTCCCTTCCCCCCTGCACCACATGCCTCAGGGTGACTGACTGGCATCCCCCCCCCCCCCGCGCCCCCCCCCCCCCCCCGGGGTTGTGCTGCTCTCAGTCTGCACATTCATGCGGGAGCCATTCCAAAGCTCTGCCTCTCCTCCCCCAAGGATCCATAGGTGAAGGCTTCTCGGCACCCAGGAATCGCTTTCGAAACGCACACAGGAAGAAGGGCCGCAGGGATGCAACCTGACATCTGTCTCAGGTCCAAGTATTGGCCTGCCAGGGGTTTGGGCACTGAATAAATCAGCTTTGCCACAAAGCCAGCCTGGAAAAGCCAGTCCTATCCAAACCACATCTCCGGTACTCCCCGCTGCCATGTGAGGCAGCTGCCCGCTTCCTGCCTCTCGGCCTTCCTGGCACTCTTTTTGCTGAGACCGCGCTTCCAGGACCAGCTTTCAGACCAGTGAATGGCTTGCTGGCTTTCTTTTATTTAGTTTTAAAGTTCAGGTTTTTTTTAAAAAAAGCATCAGTACTTTTTTTCATACAACTTTGTTGAGGTATATTTGAAGTATCGTAAACTGCACATTTTAAAAAGTGTGTAACTTGATCGGTTTTAACATAGGTATGAACCTATGAAACTATCATCAGAATCAAAATAATAAACATTTCCATCATCCCTCAAAGGTTCTTGTGCCTCTTTGTAACCCATTCCTCCCTCTGTCGCCACAAAACCACTGACCTGCTTTCTGTCTCCCTAGACGCGTTCTCACTGTCTAGAAATTTATGTAGAAGGATCCACTCAGTCTGTGCTCCTTTTTGCCTGCCTTTTTTAGTAAGCATGGTGATATTGAGATTCACCCACTGTTCTTGTGAGTATCAATACTTGTTCCTTTTTATCGCTGAGTAATATTCCATTACCTGGCTATTCTGTAATTTGTTTATCCATTCATCTGTTCATAGACATTTGAGTTGTTTCCAGCTTTTAGCTATTCCAAATAAAGCTGCTATGAACATCTGTGTACAAGTCCTTGTGTGAATGTGTGTTTTTGTTTTTCTTGGGTAACTACCTGTAAAAACAATGGAGTGTCTGGCTGGTATGGTAGGTGTACATTTAATTTTTTAAGAAACTGACCAATTGTTTTTCTAAGTGTTCAGTTCCAGTTGCTAAGCATCCTTGACAATGCTTGCAGTGATCAGTCTCTAATTCTAGCTATTCTGCTGCTTGTGAAGAAATGAAATTTACATACGCACATGAAATTTACATGTGCTCATGAAGAGCGTTTCTTCATGTGTTCCCTGGCCATTTTGTATCTATTGTGAAGTGTCTGTTATAATCTTTTAGCAGTTTTTAATTGGGTTGTTTTCTTAATATTACTGAGTTGTGAGAGTTTTAAAAAATGTATTCTGTAATAACAAGTCTTTTATCTGCAAATATAAATATATTCTCCCAGTCCATGGCTGTGCCTTTTTGTTCTAATAAGGTGTCAGTATCAACAGTCAAATCTGGAGCGTTTGGGGTTTCTGTGCCTAGAAGAACATTGAATATTTAACAAATGCAGCAAACTTAAGTCTCTAGATCCTGGCTGTGGTACCATCATGAATGAGAGCATAGTGATACCATGTTAGCTCTTGGTTTGGAAATGATTTAGTATATTTTAAGAAAAACACTGTGTGAAGCAACATACTGGGAGCTAGAGGAGACAGAAGGAAAGGTACAGACATCACCAGACATGGGCAGTGTTCTCAGAGGGCTCACATCTATGGAAGAGGGGGCAAAAGGCATGCATTCTGATCATAATGATGGGATGTGCTGTATGCTTTATTGGCATGACCTCATTTAATCTTCAGCACAGCCCTCTGATGTAGATTTTCTCCATTTTGCAGATGAAGAAATTGAGGCTTAGAGAAGTCAGGTAAGTTCCCCAGTTCATATAGCTAGCACATGGCAGACCTAGATTCAGTCCCAAGTCTGTTTGACTCCAAAGTCCACGTACTTAGCCTTTAAGCTAAATTGCCTCTCAAGTAGATCATAAGATAGGATGTGTTAAGGATTATAAGAGAGTTAGAAACAGAGTATTATGGACCAAGAAGTGAAAAAGTTATTTTTGTCTGTGCCTGACAGCAGCATGAAGGAGTTACCATTTGAGTTGGGCCTTGAAGGATGTATGCAACCTCGGTAACAAAGATGGCAGAAGGGGAATGGCAGTTGAAGGGAACAGCATGGCCAAGGATGCAGGGGTGAGAACGGTCTTAGCATCTACTGCCTAAAGCCCAATGTTTTTCAGGGGGAATGGTGAGAAAGGTGATTAAAATCTCTCAATGGACCTTGAAAATCAGCCTAATTTGATTCCAGAAGGCAGTTGTGATCCCTTGATGCATTTGAGCAAGGAGTGGGGTTTATGATATGATGGCTGTGTATCCGGATGGGATGAGATCCAGATGGACAAGGAAGTAGAGGAGGGACAGAGACCAGTCAAAGATCTCATGGCTGACTATGGGTATTGAGGGCCCAAGTAGGGCATTGGCCATAGGAATAGCTAGGCAAGGTTTAATAAGTAGAAGCTACAATTTTTATTCTCCGAACTTTTCTGAATCTGGGACTAATTTGACCCAGTCTTTGCCGCCTCCTCCTTCATTGTCCATCTGCATTTTACACACTTCATTGCTTCCAGTGGCCTGGGAGAAGAGAGAAACTCAATTTGTCCTGCCCGTAATTTGTTGGCTAATTCTGATAAATGAAGTGGTGCCTGGAGAAGGCTGAAACTTTGGGCCAAAATAAAGCTTTATAGCATTCATACATGCACCTATTCATTCAGTTAACCAAATCCATTCATTTATTATTCCGATGTGTTTTTTCCAGTACACCAAGCAATTCTCCAATTTTCAGCAGACACTGACTGGAAGTCCTACAGATTTAACCCAATTCTGACACTTAGCTACCTGGAGTTAGTGTCAGATCCCACAGGTCTCAGTCCTATAAGATGCCCCTACTTCCGATGCCAGTCATAAGTCCTGTTTGTCACCTGTCCTTCAGAATGACCAGGTATAAATCAGAGGTTCCCACGACCTCCTTCTTGGGTTCAGTTAACTTGCTAGAGTAGCTCACAGAACTCAGAGAAACCATCAGCAGGAGGCAGTTGATTGATGTTTCTCTCTCATCAATGTTTCTAGCTCTCTATTCCTCTCCCTCTCTCTCTAAAATCAATAAAAAATATATTTTAAAACTTTAAAAAAAAAATAATCATTTTACAAGGAACCTAGTGAACACCTTATCTTTGAGCAGCCCTAGCCTGATTTACATGCTATTATTGTCATGTATGTTAGTTACTTTTAATTCCATAAAACTGCACTATTGTTATTTTATGCAGGCCCTTCAAATGGAATCACTTTCCTTCTGCCTAAAACATATCCTTTGAAACTTCTTTGAGGGTCTGTTGATAGTGAACTCTTAGGTTTTGCTTGCGAATATCTTCACTTTGCTCCTGTTCTTGCTGGGTATACAATTCTAGTTTGACAGTTGTTTACCCTCAGTACGTTCAATATGTTATTCTACTGCCTTCTGGATTCTGTTACAGCTGTTGAGAAGTCAGGGCTCATACAATGATTATTTCTTTAAATTAAATCTGTCTTTTCTCTGGCTACTTTTAAGATTTTATCTCTGTTTTTGATGTTTTGCAGTTTCATTTGACGTAGATTTATAAAAACAGCTTTATTGAGGTACAATTGGTATGCAGTAAATTGCATGTGTTTAAAGTGTATAATTTTGGTAAGTTTGATGTATATATGTCCATGAAACCATTACCACATCAGATAAGGAGTATATCCATCATCCCCCCTGATTTCCTTGTGTCCCTTTGTATTTGTGAGCCCTCCCTCCTGTCCCTCCCTCCTTCGTTCCCCAGGCAACTGCTGATCTGCTATCTATCACTATAGATTAGTTTGTATTTTCTAGAATTTTATATAAATGTAATCGTACAATATGTGCTCTTTTAAAAATCTGGTTTTCTTGTACTAACCATGATTATTTTGAGGTTCATCCTTGTTGTAGCACATTTTTTAAATGATTTCAGAAATGAATGAAGAGAGAGAGAGAGAGAAAAAAAAAAAATAGAAACATCAATAATGAGAGAGAATCACTGGTTGGCTGCGGCCTGCACGCCCACACTGGATATTGAGCCCACAACGCGGGCATGTGCCCTGACCAGGAATCATAGGTTGACGCTCAACCACTGAGCCATGCCCGGCCAGTCGCATGTATTCATACTTCATTTCTTTTTTAATTGGTTGGTGGTATTCCTTTGTATGGATCACATTTACCTATCGATGGATATTTGGATTGTCTCCAGTTTGGAGGATAGTACAACGTTTTTGTGAATATTTATGTACAAGCCTTTGTATGGGCATGTTTTTATCTCTCTTGGGTAAATACCAAGGAGTGGAATGGCTAGATATGTTAGGTGTATATTTAACTTGTTAAAAACTGTGTTGGTACTATTTTATGCCACCAACAGCATTGTATGAGAGTTTCAGCTTCTCTGTATCCTTGTCATCACTTAGTATGATCAATGTTTTATATTTTAGCCATTCTAATATGTGTTTTTCTGGTGATTAGTGATGCTGAGCAACTTTTCATGTGTGTACTTATCTGCCTTCTGTATATCTTCTTTGAGATGTGTCTGTTCAAATCTTTTGTCCGCTCTTTAAAAATAGGGTTGTTTGGCCCTAGCCGATTTGGCTCAGTGGATAGAGCGTCAGAACTGCGGACCAAAGAGTCCTGGGTTCGATTCTGGTCAAGGACACACTTACCTCAGTTGCAGGCTCCTCCCTGTCCCGAGCCCTGGTCAGGGCATATGCAGGAGGCAACCAATTCATGTGTTTCTCTGACATCCATATTTCTCTGTGTTTTTCCCTCTCTCTTCCACTCTTTCTAAAAATCAATGGAAAAATATCCTCGGATGAGGATGAAAAAAAAATGGGTTGTTTATGTCTCATTATTGAATTTTGAGGGTTTTTATATTCTGGATACAAGTCCTTTAACAATATATGCTTTGCAGTATTTACTCCTAGTCTGTGGCTTATCTTTTTATTCTCTTAACAGTGTCTTTTGAAAAGCAATCATTTTAAATTTTGGTGCAGTTTGATTTATCAATTAGTTCTTTTATGGATCGTGCTTTTGGCATCGTAGCTAAGAAATTTTTGCCTAACCCAGACTCACAAAAATTTTTTTCTTATGTTTCCTTTTTGAAGTTTTATAAATTACATTTTACATTTACAAATAGATCTAGGATCCATTTTGAGTTAATATTTATATGTAGTATAACATATGGCTCAAAATTCTGTTTTGCATATTAATGTCCCGTTTTTCTAATATCATTAGACTAGAGGCCCAATGCATGAAATCCATGCAAGAGTAGGCCTTGCTTCCTCTGGCTGCCGGCACTGGCTACCCTCTGGCACCCTGGACCCGGGCTTCCCTCACTGCCCCGGCTTCATCTGGAAGGACGTCGGAAGGATGTCTGGTCTAATGAGCATATTACGCTTTTATTATTATAGATGAGTAGGCTGTCATTTCTCTACTTATGTGCCTTTGCACACTTGTCAAAAATCAGTCGCCTATATATGGGTGGGTCTATATTTGTACCTACTGTTCTGTTTCATTGATCTATTTGCTTTGCCACATTGTTACTGGGATCACTTTATGCTAAATTCTCAGCTTGAAGTTTTTCAGACCCCCCAGGTACTTTGGTTACAGACTATAAACCTGTACCAAGAGCTGAGAATTTACTCATTGCCAAAATGTGAGCCCGTGCTCTGGTGAGTGAGGTTTATTTCTAGTTTCTTCTTCTTTTTTTTTTTTTTTTAATATATTTTATTGATTTTTTACAGAGAGGAAGGGAGAGGGATAGAGAGTTAGAAACATCGATGAGAGAGAAGATCAGCTGCCTCCTGCACACCTCCTCCTGGGGATGTGCCCACAACCAAGGTACATGCCCTTGACCGGAATCGAACCTGGGACCTTTCAGTCTGCAGGCCGAGGCTCTATCCACTGAGCCAAACCAGTTAGGGCTCTAGTTTCTTCTTATATTGGGGGTGCAGGGAGTTGCAGCTACATGTGAACGGTGGTGTGAACTCCTATCAGACTCCCACCTGGCGTGCACTCCGGCTTTGTCCTCTGCATCCTGTGCTCTCAGAGGATGTGCAAATCTGCACTTGTGTCAACCTGGTTTACTAAACGCCGCAGACAGAAGCCAGTGTCAGGTCTCTGGGTTCCCATTTTCACTTCGTTTTGGTCTCTGATTATTTTTTACTTTCTTGAAAGCTTATTGATGCATAAAAAAGATGTGATTTTTTTTTTTCTGTCGTTGCTTTTTATTTTGCCCTTTTCGTTGTTTTCAGCTACTGGTTTTCACCATTCTGTTGGAAATAGAGGTTGGGCCTCAGACTTTATGGTGTGGCTGTTAGAATTTGTTTCTTCTGAGGGATTAATTGCCTTTTATGTCAGTTTTTGTTCCCATTTCCTTTGGTAAGCACGAGAGAACCAGGGGAGTAAGGAATTTATTTTTCCTATATTGGTGGTGTGTTCACTGTGGTATTACGACCACCTAATGAGTCCCTGGGCTTTCCATTGCTTCCTTTGACTAAATCATCTGTGCCAGTACAGAAACGGTTTTGTTTTAATGTGATTAAACTGCCTGCACTCCGCCGCATCGGGAGTCCGTCCCTTATTATATACTCACATACTGTTTCCTGTCTCTCCTTTAGATTATTTATTACAGGTAAAGCAATGTGATTATTTGTATGACTGTTGGATATAAAATCTGTCTCCCCTGCTAAGAACTTAAGTTCTATGAGATCAGGGACCAGGACAGTCTTACGTCTCATAGATCACCGTTTTCTAGCACAGTGCCTGGCATGTAGAGAGCATTTGGTTTAAACAAAATGAATGCATGAATGACAGCATTTGCCAGACTACATTGAGGAAGCAGAAATTTGCAATAACTCAGGTTAGTGCCACAGCCACCTCTGGACTCTGACACTGTGTCATTCTCCATGCTGGGCACATTGGGAGGGTGCAGAGATGAGAGAAACCAGGAGTCTCACCCTCCAGGAACCCATAGTCCAGTGGAGAAAAGGCAGCGTTTCCGTTATTGGAATTTCCAAATTCAAATGGTAAAGACCATGTTGGGCTGTGACCTCACTGTTGATGAACTATCCAGGGTTAAATACTGTGTTCCTGTGTATACACAGTTTTGTATCCCCCAAACAATCCCAGATGGGCACCTTGTGCTGAGACGGCCAAACACCTGTCTCAGCGTCTTTTTAAAAAAATATATTTTATTGATTTTAGAGAGGAAGGGAGAGGGAGAAAGAGATAGAAACATCAGTGATGAGAGAGAATCATAGATTGGCTGCTTCCTGCATGCCCCGCACTGGGAATCAAGCCCGCAACCCAGGCATGTGCCCTTGGCCGGAATCAAACCTGGGACCCTTCAATCCACAGGCTGACGCTTTATCCACTGCAATCCAGCTAGGGCATCTCAGCCTCTTTTTAGCTCAGTTAACTACTGAGTGCTTCTCTGTGTCCAAGACTGTATCAAACAGTATAGGGAATTACAAGTTTAAAATAATACCTTGAGTCCTACCCTAAAGGAGTTTATTTGTTTAGGAGGATGGAGATCATGGGCAGCAGCTACTGGTCCTGCTCATAGAAGCTCTAAATGGACATAAATAGAACATTCCTAGGCCCTTCAGCATAGGACACAAGTAAGGGGACCCTGCCCTTGGTGCCAGCTATGAGTCCCTATACAGGCCTCGAATCTGCACCTTAGGCCTCTGTGTCTGGCTTGCCGAGGTGCACGTGGTCCCAGAGGTTGTTTTCCAGGTGTGAAGAGGCGAGGCTCGAGTTCTCTGCTTCTCAGACCTTGAATGTTTCTTGCATGGGGCCACCTAGATCCCTAAATTTGCCTCTGAGGAAACACAAGGGAGTGGGCAACTGTGTGACCCCTGCCTCCTTTCCTCCCAGGCGCCTCTTCCGCACTGCTTTCAGGCGGCGGCCGGGTCACCCAGCGTTAAGTGACTGAATTTAATCCAAGTTCTAATTCTCACTCTTTCTGGAACCCAGTCCAGCCCTGCGTGTCTGGCTTAGCCCAGCAAGATAAGGTGCAGCCTTTAGTAAGTGAAGGGAAGTCAGGCTCGCTTGGCATACCCGTGCACCTGTCTTCCAGGCACTCACCTCGCACACACCTCGTGGCTCCTCACTCAGGGCCACTCAGCAGCTTTGGACCTTGGGCTTTGGACCTTGGGCTTGGCTTTTCCTTATTTGTACAGAAGAGGGGTGGGCTGGATTTATGATTCCCAGTCACTGGCCCACAGACCTGGTCCAGCTGTTAAAATTGTCAGCAGTCCAAGGTAAAATAAAAGAGAAAATGAAGAGAGAGAGCAGTGAGTTTTGTCAAAGAGCTCAGTGAGTTACTGATCCCGAGTGGATGTCTTTCCAACTTGATATAATGCGTCCTTTATTTTATGAAATATGTTCTTATATGTCCTTCGTTTTATGAAATGATAGCAGACGGTGGGTTGTTTGTCTTCTTGGCTGGTTTCAGTATACTTACTGAGCAGAACACAAAGCTGACAACACTGTTGTCTCTTCCTAACATTTTTTTTTTTTTTGTGGGGAGGTGGGTGGTCTTTTCAAATTCATTGAATTCAGAAGTCATAGGGTCTCCAAGTTAGATTGAGATAGAACACCCTCAGCTTTTCCAATGTGTG